CTGATGCTTCCAGGGCAACCAGATCATAATTAACTTCCCACCCTTTTGCGGATAGTACACTCTACAGGTGTGACAGGAATATTGTCACAGGGTTCACTTCATTCTCACTAAATAGGGTGTCTGCTGCTTCTGAACTCTGATACTGTGAACAGTTTATGGGTTAAGAGCTCAGTTCTGCATTGGTAGTAAGATTGTTCCTAGTTTCAGTGCATGTGCTTCTCATGAAGGATTTCCTTTTTACTGTTGATAAATCCAATTAATTTCACCCAGTGCTCCAGTAAGGTTCAGTTTACATTGGAACAGAAGTTCCCTTGGCTGTTCTGAAATCCAATGCTCATCACTACAGGAGTCCATTTCATAATGTTTGAAAATTTTATTGCAGGGATTAGGGTGGCAGTAGGTTAGTTCTTTTCATGATTCTGCACTACACAAAGCATTTGTATCTATAATATATGAAACCTCATTATGGGCTAGATATAGTTTCTCTCTTGTCTTGCTCATATCTGGAGACTTGGCGTCTTGTAGTTTATTCAGCTGTCTTCTTTATTGATGGAGGAGGGTCATCTCTCTATGTGCTACTTTCATTGGTTAATAAAGAAACTGCCTCAGTCTTTGATAGGACAGCAGCTTAGATTGGTGGGGTAGACAGAACAGAATTGTGGGAGAAAAAAGCAGAGGCAGGCAGCCGCCATGACTCTCCTCTCTGAGACAGATGCAGGTTAGAATCTTTCCCGGTAAGCCACCACCTTGTGGAGCTATACAGATTACTAAATATGAGTTAAAGCAAGATGTGAGAATTAGCCAATAAGAGGCTGAAATTAATGGGCCAGGCAGTCTTTAAAAGAATACAGTTTCCGTGTAATTATTCTGGGTAAAACTATCCAGGAGGCGGGCGGTGGGAAGGCGCACCACTCCTTTTACAGCTTGGCGCCCAACGTGAAGGACTAAATCCACTTAAAAACTTGAGAGAGCTTAAAAAAGGGAAAGAGAATGTAACACAGCTTTTTGCTATTTGCTAGGGCGTGCTGTAGAGAAATTTCCCTGACTCAGCAGCCACAAGAGGAAAAAAACTGCGGTTTTAAAAAGCAGCTTCCTGGGCTGTGCCGCCATCGCAATCTCTCCGTCTGGCTCCTGCAAAAGACAGAGCTTTTGAATGGAGCATTTGGAGTAAAGTGTTATGGCTTGCTTGATGGCAATGTGGACTGCTGTGTGCCTGGAACTGTGCGCGGCTCAGGGTCACCAAAAGGCTCTGAGGCAGGAGCAGCTCAGCTCTGCCATGCTGAACTGTGCTGGTCTCAGGCAGGAACTATCATAATTATCCTAATAACAACGCAATTAAGGGTTAGAGTGGCAGTAAACAGGTGGTACCACAATACCTCTATATAGCGCAACTTAAGTTTTTAAGAAGTGCTTAACATTTTAAGAAATGCTCCTGGATAATAAAGAATTACAGATTCACAATAGCACAGATTCAGACATAAAAGACCTCTAAATGGGTAACAGTGTTGGATGAGTGTACATAGGCTTGGGAGAGAGAAGAAAAGGAATATAGAGAATAAAGTTAATGCCTTAAAAAAAGGGGTAAAGTCTTTAAAGAGACAGAGTACAGATAGTTATAGATTAAAAGAAATAAATAAAAATAAGCCGTGTAAAAATGGAAAATTCACAGAGAGTTTGGATTCTGTATATTGTGTTTTCTTTAAATTTTTTGACTGCGAAGGAGCTAAGTACAGAGAGACATTTCATTATATGGGCTTCCAAGCTAAACCATAATGAATATAAGGGTATTATGACTTCAGAATTTGGATCTAAGGATATGATACTTTGGAAAAGAGATTCTTCTTATGTTTTCACAGAGGATGAGGCCCTGTGGATTGCTTCTATCCCAATATGTTATGATAGACCATGCCCTCCTGAAAGATCACCATGATCACCTTCAGAAAATTACTTCACTCAACTGCCGACTGAGATGAATCTAGCACACAGGTTATACCCTGAAAGACCTGAATTGTAGTGCCCCTATTCAGCACGAAGCCGTTTGGAGAGAAATAACTACACCCATATTCCCAAATATTGTTTATAAATGTTCTTTTACATTTAAAGGAGGATATAATATAGATATGAATAATTTGCATTGGTATGGGTTTTAGGTCAATTTTGTTATATGTATATATATTTCTGCTCTTGATTAAGGTATTGTGATTGTGCAGTTCATTTAAATATGTAGTGTATAATTAGGAAATATACATTGTTGTTACATAGGTTGTTAATGGATAATCATCGATAATAGTCAAGCCTGTAGTCATGTTAGATTTTCTAGATATATAGAGATATATTTCAGTTAGATAGACATTCTTTATATCTTTCAAAGACTGCAGAAGATGGCGTTTAATGTTTTAATAACTTAGGGTTGTTCATGACAATGAGACATGACTGCTCCTGGCAGCACCAATCTTCTTCAAGAGGAAGATGGGCTTTGAAGAGGCTCCTTATGGAGTTTGATAGCCTTTTGGGCAAGAAACTGATCTTGCCTGGACTGTTACATAAACTGGATACAGAGAACCCACAGAAAGAGGACTGCTGAACTTACCTAAAGATGAGATGGTCATTTGGGGTTCCTAATTCATGAAAGAGTCTGCCAGACATTCTGCAGGACACAGGAGAAAGTGATTGAACTGTCTTTGAAATTTCCTGCTTCATGGAAATGTCTTTGGATACTATGGGCCTGAAGGCTGAAGATGGATGCCCCAACGGTACAAGAGAACTATGGGTGACTGTCCAGGCATCAAGATGTCTCTGTCATTTCTAGAGCTTGGAAGTTGCTTATTTCTTGTTTGCTTAGGTAATATTATATCCTTCTGGAGTCTTTGATGGAGCTGAAGAATGGTTAGTTATAGTTATAGTTTTCCTTAATTATGATAAAAGATAAAGTAGATATAAATATTGTAACTGTAATTCTTGCTTGAAACCCGTTTTGTTATATGCAATGTTAAAGTTAAAGCCTTTCTTTTTGTTTAAACAGAAGAAGGGAAAATGATGTAGGAGAGTCTTCTATCTGTTGCTTTCATTGGTAATTAATAAAGAAAACTGCCTGGCCTGATAGGTCAGAACATAGGTAGGCGGAGTAGACAGAACAGAATGCTGGGAGAAAGAAGCAGAGGCAGAGAGCTGCCTGCCATGAAGCTGCCAGGTCAGACATGCTGAATCTTTCCCAGTAAGCCACGAGCTCGTGGTGAGACACAGATTATTAGAAATGGGTTGAATCAATATGAGAGAGCCAATAAGATGCTATAGATAATGGGCAAGGCAGTGTTTAAATGAATACAGTTTCCATGTAATTATTTCGGGGGTGAAGCTAGCCAGGTGGATGGCGAGAAGCGGCCAGCCACTCCTACTACACTTCATATAGTGTTAACTATTGCTTTCCCTCTTTTGTATTAAAACTCCAGGAACCAATTATAGGAACTCTTTTACATCATAAAGGTAATCTATGTCTTATTATCAGGGTCATGATACAAAAAACCCTGATATTTATTAATAAATGCGTGTCATCATCACATAGAAATCACACTACACCTTGAAGTATTCATCCCATTTCTAGAATAGCATTACCAAGTTATATCTGAGTCAAATATGATATCAGATTAGGATAGAGTTGTTTTTAAATTTAGAATTTGACCCTACTCATGAGAACCTTATAGTATATACTTGGATTATAGAACTAGATTCTTAGGTTCATTATAAAACCAGCCATTAAGTATCACATTGTTCTATGAAGTGCAGATATATGAAGAAGAAGACATGGTCTCCATCCAGGATGAACCTCATATATGGTGGGTGTGAGCTGTCACTGAAAATGCAAATGAGTGCCACAACATATCACAGTGTCATGACCTGAGTGCCATTTGCTGTTTTATTTCTTATATTTAGGATTCCTGGATTTTTACTAACTGGAATAGAAATGATATTTGATGGTGGTCTGATGATACATAGCTATATCAGAGCAGTAACTGATATGACCTCAAAATAAAGTTAGACCATTGTGGCTCCCAGACTCTTCCTTATTCGATTCTGGACCACCATGGTGTAAGGAGGGCCCAGCCTTTTGTGGGCAGGATCACAAGGATGGTCCCTCCCTTAACAGGTTGGCTCAATTTGCTGTGGACAGGACCACAAGGATTGTTCTATCAATCAAGAATCAAAATTCATTCTTGCCAATAGGCCAAATTTTCCTCAGATATGACTCAAGACTTTGCCAATTTAGCAAGTGAAGCTAAATAGATTGATAACTAAATATTTTCTAATTGGATTTGAGCCACAATCTCCTGGAAGGAACCTGACAGTATAAACCTGGTTAAAGGTTGAGGAAATCCTAGCTTGGGACCTACTATTGCTCTTTTCCTAAATGGTCATGTTGACAAAATATTTCCTAAAGTTTTATGTTAATAACTATAGCCAGAGATCTGCATTGTTCTCAGCCTTTGCCTGAGAAGCATTTGTTGTAATGGGTACCAATCAATTCAGAGTCATAAAATTGCTCAAAGGACTGAGAATGATCAGCCTCATGCTAAGGCTCCAGGTATACTACGGAAGTATGAGGAAAGAATGTAGGAACCCAATGATGAGAAGTGCTATCACACATTTTTTTTCTGGACATGCCATGGCCATAGCATTCATAAACTCCAAGAATCTGTCAGCTGCACAGGACTTACAAAAGATTGGAAAGCCAAAATTCCAAAATAAATGAGAAGGGGCTTCTAATAACTTCAACCAAAATAAAGAGCTATTGAGAGTCATAGATTCCAGGAGGGGATGAATCACTATTATGGGGGTTGGGTGTACACTGCTACATTGCTCATGATCCAGCAATCTTATCTCAGGAATGCATGCATTCTTTTATAGACAGCACTAATTGGATTTATTGGGTTATTAAGAATAAAACAAGGGGACATAATGTTAGAATTGGGACATATTGAAAGAAATCCAATGGGAAGTAGGAATGTGGTCATGGGAGATGAATTTAATATTTCACAGAATCAAGCCAAGAAATCCTGAATGAATAAAAAAACCAACAAAACAAATTGTGAGCTTGTGTGGGATATTTCAGATTTGGAATGCAATATGAGTTAGGTGATGTTGGAACTTACAAATATTGTGGTCTTGTCTTGACTGTGCACAAAACAAGAGGAAATTAAACTTTTGACAGCTCAAGTCTACTTCAAAATGAGGAAATAAAAGTGACAGTGTCCAGGTCAGTTATGTCTAAGGGATATGGTAGAAATCCTCCCTTTCTGTGACGCACTGGAGGAGGTCCATGTGTCAGTCCTCCCCACTTCAGCTACTCCCTTTTCTTCTTCTTTCCAGATTTAGCAAACATCTGGCAGCAAAGGAGGCAACACTTTGTGATGATGAACATCACAGTCATCACACAGGCAAGCAGGAATCCAAGCACGTCCAGAGAGTGGTACTGGTACCAGGCGAGGTCATGCGCTGCCACACGAAGGTGCTTGGCCCCTTTGTGGCGCATGACATACTCAATCCAGAAGACGGCTCTGTCCAGGGGCTTCACTGGTTGGTCGTGGTGGATTCTTGATAGCCGCATGGCATTCTCCTTATAGCTAAAGACATCAACATCAAAAGCCAATTAGTTTACTTTCTTCAAGCCTATGAAAAGTTCAGAAAGAGCATCGTGAGACTCAGTAAATGTCATAGAGGAGCACTAGGTACAGTGTGGTTTTGACTGGGACATGTTTGGAGGTTTGCCTGGAGGTTGGTATTTTCTGTGAAATTCTTTCCAAAACTAAAATGAGAAATCATTGTGGGAAGGAAATCTTTCCAGCAGAGGAAATGTCCAAAGACCCTTTCAAGCCCTGTAAATGAGATGGTTTATACAGTTTGACACTGATCACACTGATGCTCTTGAGAAGAAACTGTCAAAATTCTTTGAAACCTCAATAAAAACACTATAGTAATTAAAAATGACTACTCTTGAGAATGGAGGATACTTTGCACAAGCTGACTTAAGGGCTGGGATGCAGGTCATTGATAACTTGCTTAGAAATTATTTCCATCTTCAAATTATTCTAAACTAATTTCTATTACAGTAAGTCTGCAGGGATATTTTACAGTCTTGATTGATAGTAAAAGCTCATTATACAGTGGTTAAATGAGGTTCATTGGTGTTGTTGCTTTCAAACTGAGACTACAGATCAGATGACTTCTACTGTCCCTTTGGATAGAATTGATCCAGACTTGTACCAACTTGAATAAAATCACTGTACTCACGAAGGGTCATTAGTGACTGTCTTCACTGCATGGAGCAAATCTGTACTGGACATTGTGAGAATGTCCAGTCTCACACCTGCTCCTTTGGTCTTCATGTGAACAACATTATCAAATTGGTCTCCAAACAAAGGAATGCCAATTACAGGGATTCCGTGGTAGATCGCCTCATGAATGCCATTTGTGCCACCATGAGTTATAAAAGCTCTGGTTTTAGGATGACCTAGCAAGGGGAGAAATAAAAGGCAAACATTAAATATAAATCTGAAAAAAAAATGAGAGAGAAAAAGACACAGAAAGGGCAAATATTCTCTAGACAACATTATCATACCCATGGAATAGAAATGAAGTCCTCTCAAGTCTTAGAGCATCACAAGTCCATGGATGATTATTGAGGTCACATAGAGGAGGTGGTTTGTGGAAGTCAAATGATTTTTGCAGTGGACAAAAAGTCAGAGCAACTTCCAAGTGGAGTAAACAGCATGTGCAAGCACAGGCCGTAGTTCAGGAGAGAATGTTCTCCTACAGAAACAGTGAAGCCACTGCTTGTGATATGTTCCTTCCATGTGGCAGGGGGTTTTGCTCATAGTGATGGGATGAGGCTTACGACAAGCAATACTCCATCCAATATAGGACTGCCTCATGATGTGGAGTTTTGTGGGTGCTAGGAAATTAAGGGTTAGTAACGAAAGAATACCATCCTCACTTGCGTTTGAAATTGTGCTACCCTAGAGGAAAGGGCGTATGTAAAGGTTTAGAACTAGGAGGTGAACACAAACACGAAGAAGTGATTTAAGTTTATCTGAATGAAAACTGCAGAGGAGACAGTAATGGATTCTCCAATCTCCAATGTTACTACTGTACAACATATCCATATAAGTTCTTTATTTATTTTCTCGAGGACAAGATCACATTTGTCATAAATGCATTAGTGTTGACATACCCCATACTGAGCAGCCAATCCTATGTCTCATGCATCTCCCTATGCTTACCGAGAAGGTCATTCTGGGGGATCCATTTGTACAGCCGAGTGTTGGAGCCCAAGGTGTCTGGCTTCTTGCCTTCAAATCGCCAAAGAACCTGTTAAGACAAAGCTAGCCTCTTATTACTTTGGTCAAATGTCAAGTTACTTCTGCTAGATTTCTAGAGAGATTAAGAATCAGTGGAGATAAACGCTGGTCCCTAAGGGCCAGGCAGTGAGGATGGATGATGGGAACCGTGAAGAACTGCTACAGCAAGGCTGCAAATTCTCTTCACTGTCCTGCAGTTAGTCTCATGCTTATCCAAGCTTCAGCCTGGCGCCTCAATGTTTAGTCAACAGCAGCTTAGGCAAAGTTATGTCAATATCATACATATTATAATATTAAGCAGGAGTTAAGAAATGTGTCAGGGCTGGAGAAATGGTTCAATGGTTAAGAGCACTGAGTGCTCTTCCAGAAAGCATAGATTCAGTTCCTAGTACCCACATGGCAGCTCATGACTGTCTCTCTGTAACTCCAGCTTCAGAGGACGTGAAACCTTCATACAAACAAATATGCAGTCCAAACACCAATGTACACACAAAAAAATAAGAAATGTGTTATTGTAGTTCAGTTCAACAATCCACCAATGTTAATAATATGTACCTTGATTTTTTCAATATATTTATAGCATTTTTATTTTTGAAATTCAACATAAATCTTTGTCAATGATATTTGTGTTAGTTTACTTATAATCATTTTATAATAAGTATTTTTTTTAGATTAGGTCCTTGTAGCACAGCACTGTCTAAGCCCGTGTTTACTTCCAGACCACATCTCAAATTACACCCTATGTCAACATTAAAAGCCTCAGTCCCCCAGGTAGAGTTGGGTTTGGTAAATCCCATCACCTATTGTTTTTAATAGCAAGGGAAATATTACTGAACATGAGGGCATTTTAATACATAGGCGATCACATTTGACCAAAATTATAAATTAATACTTCACTATTATATAAACCCCGTTTTTAAAATTTTTTTATTATCTTCTCTTTTGATTTTTGTTTTATTGAAAAGAGATTTTTTTTCACAATCATGTTCTGATTATATTCCCTCAGCCCTTCGTCTTTCATCCAAATTCACACCATTTCATTCTCTCTTCTTAGAAGACAAACAAGTAAATATAGCAAAGTGAGTAAGAAACCATTGCAAAATTTTCTTTGTGATAAGAGCCTTGTGCTTGTCTATGAAGTTTCTTTGAGATGATTTGGGAAGTTGAAATTGGGAAGTTAAATGCAATATACTACATTTTTGCTACCAAACCACTACGACCTCCCCTACTATCATCACCATTACCACCACAGGCACCATGACAACCACACAAAATCTTTATTTACTGGCTACTTCAAGCTGTGAAGAATAGCCATACTATAGTGGATAAGACAATTTTCTTTCTGCTTTTACTTTGGTTGAAAAATAAACTCTTGATTTGACCTGGAATGACCTGATATTAATTCCTCAACATGGAATCAAGAGCATAATGTCTGTGGGTATGCTAGGAAAACTAACATCTAATAAGATAATCTGAAGTATCCTTTACAGCTATCTCTTTTTGTATATGTTTTGTATTTTAAGAGTTTAATTTTAATTCCTCAACCTTGGTAAGTCATTCTCTCTTTCAAGTACTGTCTTTGGAAATGACATGCTTTATTTGGTCATTACTACCTTATCATGTATCAACTTAACAGTCTCTGAATTGCTAACCCCCCCCCCCAAAATTCAAAGATAGAAAAAAGGAACACAAACAGATATGTAAATAATAAAAATAAAATGATATAAAAGATTAATAAATCATAGTAACACCAATTCCATTTTGAAGATAAGGATTTAATTTTAGTCATGTGTAAACTAGAGTGCCTGTATATGTGCGTGCACATGTGTGGTGGTTTGAATACTTATGGTGGATTCATGTGTTTCAGTGTCTGACCTTTAGGGAGTGGCACACTATTTGGAGGTGTGATCTTGTTAGAGGAAGTGTAACCTTGTTAGAGGAATTGTGTCACTTTGTGGGCAGGCTTAGTGTACTCATATGTTCAACCTGTGCCCAATGTGGCACACAGTCTCCTGCTGCCTGTGGATAAAAATGTGAAATCTGCTCCCTTTTCAGCACTATGTCTTTCTGTATGCCCCTGGCCATGAGGATAATGAACTAAACCTCTGAAATGGCAAGACATCCCCAATTAAATATTTGAAATTTTATATTATATATAAGAATTGCTGTGGTCATGGTGTCTCCCCATAGCAATAAAAGCCCTATGTCAGTGTGCATGTACATATGCATGGAAATACGTGCGGCTGTCATGACAGGCTGGATAAGGGCATTGAATCTCAAGAAGATACAGTTATAGGTAGTTTTGAGGTGATAAACATGGCATCTCAAAGTAAGTTCATGACTTCTGGGTGAGCAATGCATGCTCTTCAAGGATGAGACGCTTCTCCAGTCCTACAGCTGCAGATTTTGGGTGCTTCCTTATTGTTACAGGGCCAGTGCACTTACTGGTTATAAGTTAAATGTTGTATAGTTATACTTTAGTGTGTAAATCATCTTCAGATATCCTCGAGGAAATTAAAGGAAGTAACAAGCCACAGTTTTGTGCATATAATACCTTCCTACCATCAAGTTTGAAAGCACTTGTGAAATGTTTTTCTTTTTAAACACAATGTTAATAACAAAGTTATTATTCAAAACCACCACCTAATATTTGGCATTTCCCCCATGTATTTCTGTGTCACAAGTGATGAGCTAGATCTAGAATGACAGCTTCAATTTCACAGGAGGTTTCTACAGTCACACCTGAACAGGATGTGACCATCTCAATGAGGATGCCGCACCGAGGCACTGTTTCTCACCTTCTGTGGAATCTGGGCAAGGCCTGCTGCAATCACATTGGCTCTTTCTTCTGTTAGGGTGCCCACCATGGACCCCAGGGAAAACACCACCACACCATGTTCTCCGGAAGACTGGACGAAGTCTTCTATTTCCTGTTGATGAAATATCAACCTATTGCAAACAGCAGCAACACCAAGGTGATACCAACCTGCATAAAATTGATACCAACATTGGCAGGAAGAAACTGAACAGCATTAGAAACAATCAGAGTAGTGGGTAATTTAAAACTATTCATATCCACATATAAGATGTAAGTTTTAGTAGTGTAAGGTTACAGCTTGTGTTACACATATCCACACTCAGATAAACAGTTCTGGAACATTTTCATCTTGAAAGGCAAGATTTGTTGATATTAAATTTATTTTTTTTCTCCTTTTCCAGTCCCTTGACCACCAAATATCTGCTTTCTGTTTCTATTATTTTGACCAGTTTAGGGAGTTCTCATAAGGTCTTATTTTATTTCTGTCTTGCTCATTGGCTAGTTTACTAAGTGTACTGACACTAAGTTCATGCCGTGTATCTCTATAGCCTAGCATTTTAAGTTTTAGTGATTTTTTTTGTATTTGAAAAATACAAATATAAAAATTATTGTATATAAGTTTTACTAACCATTCCAGTGATACTCACATAACTTCTCTATGTCATAGTTATTGTTCTATTGTGAGGACACACCAGGATTAAGGCGATTTCTAAAAGAAGGCATTTAATTGGGGGCTTGCTTAAAGTTTCGGATGGTTTGTCTATGAGCATCATAGTGGAGAACACCATGGCAGGCAGACAGGCACAGCACAGCACTGGAATTGTAACCCAGAACTAAACCTGTACCATAAGTGGCAGACAGATAGAGAGAGGCCAAGCATAGCTTGTGCTTTTGAAATCTCAAGGCCAACCTCCAGTGACACATTTTATCCAACTAAGCCACACTTCCTAATCCTTCCTAAACAATTCACCAACTGAGAACCAAAGATTCACGAATATGAGCCTATGGGGTCATTCTTATTCAAACTACCATGCACTCTTCCCTTTCGGAATAGAGCTGCTATGGGCATCTCTGCATTTCTATCTCATAAAGGTCCTTCATTCAGTTCTTTTACATATATACGCAGTAGTGGAATTCACGGACCACAAGTTTATTTCTAATTTCATTAAGACTGTCCATTCTGTTTTCATTTGTGCTCTTTCTATCAGATGTTAGTTTTATTGGAAAGAAATTTACTATATGCTGTCAATTCTTTTTACTGTATACATTACTGCAAATGTCTGTATATGTATGCATGTGCAGGGGTGTGCTTTCACTTGTGTGATTGATCAAGAAAGTAAATAGAGCCATTGTGACCTCTTTTTCTTTGTTCACTCTCCATCTACTTTCTCTCTAATCACTTTGTATATATCTCATCTTCTGGAACTCTCTCTGCATTTAGTATTTGTGTGTTTTCTACAGTCAAATATAAGAAAGTATTTTTTAAACAAAATCTTGCTAGATTAATTTAATCCAACTGAATAGTCACACTTTGTTATGGTGTTATACAGGTGTTTCTACTGACAGCGTTCTTTATCTAAATTCCTAGGACTCTCTGAGTTTGATGAGCATTCTGAAGGAATAAAAGATAATCATCCTGGCTGACAATTCAAGGAAAACAGAAGCAAACAAATGCGACTATACTTACCTTTGGCAGAGGCTTTGCAGGTCTGCAGTGGAGTCCTCCAACATAATCAAAGTTTGGTAAGACAGGATGAGGAAATTCCAAATCCCAGTAGGTTCGAATGAGCCATATGTCTGCCTTCCCCATCATCTCAGAGAGGGTTGTGGGTTTTCCTGAAGAGGAATCAGAACATCTCTCCATCTTCTCTTCAGAGTGGGTAAGGCTTCCCTTGGGGAGTCAACAAAATCTAGCATATTGTTTTGAGGCAGGACTAAGGCCCTCCTCCTATATGTAGGACAAGCAAGGTATCCCTCCAGAGAGAATTGGTTTAAAAAAAAAACAGAACAAGAAGTAGGGATAAATCCTGTTCTCATTGCCAGTGACACCACAGTCTGCCTCAGCCATGCAACTGTCACCCACATAAAGAGGGCCTAGTTTGGTGTAGCACTTTCTCCCTTGCTGTCAGGCCAAAGTTGGAAGACTTTCATTAGCTTAGGTAAGCTGTTTCAGTGGGTATCACGATTATGGTGTTGATCTCTTTGCTCATATTCTCACTCCTCCCACTCTTCGACTGGACTTTGGGAGTTGAGCCCAATTGGAACCCACCCTTAACTGTGATTTATATATCCAGTGAGATTCTAATGAAGAACATTAATTTTTTTTTCTTTGAGAACAATTGTCAATTGGAGATAGCTTCATTGTTAGGGATGGGCGCTCAAACCTACTTCCCTCTCTCCACACTGAGATTCTGTATGTCTTGAACCTAAGCCCTGTGCATGCTGCCACAGTTTCCATAACTTCATAATTACAAACTTCCTGTTGTGTCTCAGAGGCACTGTTCCTTGATGTCTCTCAGTCCTATCATACTTAGGACTGAGTGTTCCAAAGTCCTTTACTCTCTGTACAGTGTCCTGTTTTGGATCTCTGTATTAGTTTTCATCCACTACAAGAGAATGCTTTCCTGATGGTGAGTGAGCAAGATAATGATCTTTGGGTATAGCAAAATGTTATTAGGAGTCATTTTATTCCTGTGTTCCTTTAGCAGAACTGTAGTATTTAATTTTTCCCTAGGCTCATGGCCTATCTAGTTTTAGGGTTTTGGTCAACTGAGCACTGTCAGGTATGGACGTGGCTGTAAATGCAATCAGAATGGTTGGTTGCTACTACATGTGTGCCACTGTAGCTCCAGTTGTCACACAGGTAGATCACCTCTCTAGGTTTAAGAGTGTATAGCTGAGTTAGTGGTATTTCTCCTCTTATAGGTTCTAAAAGTACCTTTGAATACTAGTCAGTAGGGTGAATACTAGTCAGTAGGGGTGAAGGCTCTAGGTAGGCCCTCACTCAACTTCTCCATTTTTAATAAGTTAAATAAGTGTGGTCTTCAGCAATAAAGGCTTACCACTGTTTCTTGGAGAGAAGTCAATAGCCTTGACAATAGTCAGAGTTTTGGGGTTTCCTTGGGCCCCTTTGGTCAACAAGTCAATTAGATGTATTTTGTTCACGTGACTAGAAGAATCGTTTTGTGCTAAAAGATATTTAGTCTCCTTAATCATTTGATAATTCCACTTAGATTTATTCCATAGTATAAATAAAAGTTTCTATAATAGAAGAAGGTTTTCATCTAACCAGTCAAATGACCTTTGGATTTGTTGTCTCTCCCTGTATTTTATCACTTACTTCCCTCTTTTCACAACCTCTTCCTCATTCAATTCTGCTTCAGTCTTTCAACTGACTCTCCATAACTATATATTATATTTCCTCTTTGGGAGATCTGCTCATCCCCCAACCTCTTACTTTATACCAAACCTCTGTAGTTTTACATATTGTAGCATGTCTACATGTAGCCATTTTAAAAGCAAACAATATAGTATTTTTTCTTTTATGGGGGGATCCGGGTAACCTCTCTCAACATGACTTTCTAGCTCTATCTATTTATTTATGAATTTGATAATATAGTTTTTCTTTTTCAAGGCTGGATAATATTCCATTATGTAACTGCACCACAATTTTATTATCCATTTATCTGTTGAACATCTAGGCATTGAAATGTTTGAATTTCTGGCTATTATGATTAGAGTAGTAATACCATGGATGAGCCAATGTTTCCCTGGTAGGTTGTAGAATCCTTTCAATACATGCCCCACATGATTTGTTCCTGGACAGCTGCAGGGTGGACGGGCTCCTGGCTGTGTTGGGCCCATCTTTATCTTCTGAGAATCTAGCTGGCCCCGTTTCTTCCTCAGTCTCTTCCTCCTCTACCATCTCCTCAAAGCTAAAGCTCAAGAAACACTTTTCCCTCCTTTCCATGGGTTGCTCAGTCAGAGATTCTGTTCGAGGCATTCTGCAGTGGCAAGAGACCATTGACATTCCTCCTTAGCTGGGCCTCTGGAGACCACATCAGACCCTCCAGTGCTTGGTGGAAACTCCAACTCCTCTGGTGGTGCTGGGACAGTTAGTAGGGGAATTGGCTAGTGATGACACATCCCCTGGGGAGAGATCGACTCACTGCTTTGAGAGGCTGAGACTGAGTCATGGAGGGGGAACCTTGGAAGACAGAGCAGATATGGTAGAGAGAAGAGCTGCTCAGTTTTATGGGGGACGAAGAAGCTGTCCCTAACCTAGCAGGAGTGGGTTGTGGAGGAGGGGTGGCTAGGCTGACCTCACAGGGAGAAGGGAAGCCTCAGTGGCAGAAGTGTCACCTACTGCTCCAAAGTGAAGGAGGAGGAGGAAGTTGCTTGGAGTTGGTTGAACCACCCAGAGCATCCCAGGTCTGACTCAACATTCCCTGTTCTACTATCACTGATATCTATGCAGCCACAGCAGAGAGATGCCTGACAGGGAGAGCACATTTGTGGATAAGGTAGAAGGCCCTTCAGAGTACATTCTGGAGACAACTGATGTGCTTCCTGTGAAGGCCTGGTGTTTGACATCCAGGAGTTCCTAAGCCCTGGACTCTGACCTGCTACTAGCCCCCTCCCATGACCCTTCCCCTGTCTCCTGGGACCGCCTTCCTCACAAAGGATAACACAGACAGCCTGGAGTTGCCCTGTCTGAATCCTTTAGAGAGTCTGCCCAGCTAGGATCTGCTGCTGGGACCCAGTAAGAGTAAAATGACCACCTGTCGCAGGGGGCTTATGGGAACCTCTCTGACTAGTTGTCAGTGTCCTTCTCTCCTAATTTTGCCTCCATTGCTTCCTCCCACTTTGACTCAAGGGAACTGCTTCCTCTGGAATTGCCCCCTTGCATTTCCATTGAGGAGGAACCACCAGCATATACAGTTCATCCCCTCTCAACCCCCTCCCTTCCCCTGGATACTCCAGAAACTGTCACAGGGTCATTCCAGGGGGTGTCAAATGGTGCTGAGGGGGATCAGCCCTTCTCAGGATATCCTTGGTTCCACGGCCTGCTCTCTCGACTCAAGGCTGCCCAGTTAAGGCACTAACTCCCATGGTGTCTTCCTAGTATGTCACAGTGAGACAAGACGTGGTGAATATGTGCTCAATTTTAACTTCCAGGGCGAGGCCAAATACCTGAATTTGTCGCTGAATGAGGAGAGTCAGTGCCTGATCCAACAACATCTGTGGTTCCAGTCCATTTTCAATATCCTTGAGCACTTCCGGGTGCATCCCATTCCTGTGGAGTCTGGAGGCTGCAGTCATGCTGTCCTTGTCAGTTATTGTGCCCCCCCAGTGGTTGCAGGGTTGGGAGGAGGCTGGGAGCCATGCAGGGGTTTGCAAGGGCGACTGATGCTACCCCCGATTCTTCTTATTTTGAGCAAGTACTCAGACCATGGACCATAAAGTGCTAAACACATTACGATGGGTATGCCATGTTGTAGGCAGGCCTTGACCCTTCAGTTTTCCTTCAATTGCACTCTGCTTATGATGATGCAGCAGAGACCCAAGCCTGTACAAATCTGTAATTTGGACTTAATATTACCTTTGGACATGCTTACTGGCCGTGGGCAATACACTAATTCTCGCAATCCATGATTGGCCCACATACCTATTTCCAACAAGTGTCCAACCTAGCCTTCAAGGCCCTCAAACTTTGTATGTCCTAGGGCAGTGTCGGCTATTTCTGAAATCTTGTCCAGTAGGTTGTGGAACTATTTCCTGAATTTTTGACTCATGTCACCAATGCTGTTAAAAAGCTCATGCCATCTGGTCCTACCAAGCATATTTTTATTATACAGCTAACCTGGGAGGGGCTCAACACTGTCACCTATAATTGTACCTGTTAGAAATGAAAATATTCGTAAGTGGGTCTTGGCCGTCCATGATATTGACACACAGACAACCCATTTCCACCTTTACGACTTCCACCAATGCCTTGGTCAATGCTAAACTTGACAAAGATGATGATTTAGCCCTGACAGATCGTATTTGTTGGGGATGTGGACAGTCTGACCACTTATATAGGAATTGTCCCAGGACTTGTCCAAAGACCTATTGCCCTAAATGTCAAAAGGATTATCATTGAGCACAAAACTCTAGAAGCTCCCAGTGGGTCCTGACATGAATGATAAATTAGACAAGGGCTTCACACTCCTGGGGCATGAAGGTAAGTGGTGTGCCTTGGTGTGCAATGATTAAGGTGAACTGGTTCACTATGCAGATCTCTTCACTTTCAGAAGCATAGTAGATATCCTTTAAAAAGATGGATTGCCCCAATACTTTTGTTCTCTCTGCTGAGGTTACTTGAACAGCAGTAGAACCAATCTTAACAGAGATTTTGGTGTCTTTTTGAACTAGCTTGACAACATTGTGGAACACCTTTAGGTGCTCTTCCAGAGCCAAGATGGCAGCAGAAAGTATCTGTAGCTCATGCTCTATGTGCTCAGCCAGCTTCCCAGGACAGTCTATGAAAATAAGTCATTTTTTTGTCCTTCAGGTCAGTCAGTAGCTGCTTGTGGTACTTGTACTCTCTGATCCAGAAGTTACAGTTATAGATATAGACTGCAGAGACATTTTAAGCAAAGCCAGGAAAAACAACAAACCACTTAGAGAGGAAGTCTGTTTTAAAGCCATTGCTAGGTCCAGTATGGGCACCTTGGATAATCATTTCTCTCAGATTAGACAACTTTCTACCCTTTCCCTTTTTAAAATTAAAGATAAAAAATTATGCCACACCATCAAAAAATGTCATTGCCCTGGCTGCTATAGCCTTTACAGATGCTAATAAAACTAATTTTTGGTTGATAATATTAGGAGTTAAAATTACAAAAAAAGGACCTATACCTAACCAAATTCTAGATCAGTACAACCAGGATAGTTTTTGACGGTCCTTAAGGTATTGGAAATGACCAGATCAGAATCTGTAAATATCTTCTCAGATAGCCACTACGCCACACAAGCATGCAAAATACTATTTTTGCAAAATTAAAGTCCCAAAAAGATTCCATCTCCAAAACTATGCAAACTATTCAAGACTTATTACAGTGAAGAGAATGTCCCTGGCACATACCCCATATCAGATTGCATACAGGGCTGCCAGGAATGCTAGCAACAGGCAACCACAGAGTAGACCACCTAATTATGACTATGGTAGTGTCTTTGCCTTTGCTGGAACAATCTAGGCACCTCCACCAGCAATTTAATTTATCCCCTCAAAATTTTCTCAAGTTTTACCTGGTTTACCCTTTCCCAGCTGTAAACATTTGATCAGAACCTATGCAACTTAATCAACACGAGCCAAGCCATTGGATTTGTCTACCACATTCTTTGGCCAATTGTGGGATCACATAAAATCCATGCTAGACCCCTCTAAACTTGTTACATGGTGCCTTATGGGACGGGTGGTAGTGGCTCTAATATATCTGTTTAAGTATTTTCTACAGCTAAGATCCTGATAACAGCAGGTGAACAAGGCAATGCTCCAGGTGTTAATGGCTATGGAGCATGCTGGACCAAAACCTCCAAGGGAGGTGGTCCATGGTTGGCTAACACAAATACAGGAGGCCATTTAAAGCCCTAGTACTCTGAAAAGTATCCCCTTGCTTCTGACTTCTTGGGACCTTCTGGGGACCCAACCCTTTGAGGACTTGTAGTCAAAGTCGGATAAGAGCCTGTTCAGCAGGCCAGCCTAAGATAGGCACAGTCCCAAATGCTGGGGGAGGGTCATTGAGGTGGAGTTATAAAATTCCATAACTCCCACTAGGTTGTCCAATAAGAATAAAATAAAAAGAGTGGGATGAGGCAGGGCAATAGAACAAGCACAGGCAAGCACATGCAAACTCACAATGAATAAGCAAAAATGGCCAAAACAACCTGTTAGCAGACCACAGCATAGTAACTAAAGACACACACACACACCTAGTCAATCACAACATCCAGCAGTGACTACCAGTTTCAAAAGGACCAAACAAAAACATTCCTGTTCTACCTTAATTTCCCTACCTCCCCACTAAAACCCCTGACTTTTTTTTTCAATAAAAAGCTTCTATATTGGAATCTCCCAGAGTCTGTGTTTTTGTCTCCATGTCTTCTCACCCCCTTCTTCCCCCGGGAAACAGGGATCACACAATAGGCAGAAGCAACAAGCCTAAAACAACTACAATTGTCTATGAATCCTATTTGTCATACTCAGGGAAACACTTTTCTTGGAAGTCTCCACCTAGTTTTCCCTGGTAGGTGCCGGAACCTTGACGAGTAATCCTCTCAGGGAACTGAGAATTTTATGTTGTTTTGCTTTGTTTTGAGATATTCTGATAGAGCTCAGGGTGGTCCCTATGTCACTAGATAGCCAAAGTTGTCCTTGAATTCCAGATCCTCTTTCTCCACGTCTGAACTGCTGTGGTTACAGGTATGAACTGACACTAACCAGTGTGAGTTTTTTTGTGGGGATTTTCTTTTAGAATTTCATTTTGAGACACAGTCTCACTGTATCACCCTGGCTGACCTCCGAGAAAATTTTCTCTTATGCCTGAGTTCCTTGTCCTCATATTGTGCTTTATTCATGATTGACTGTGTAATAATTAGGTGTATGTAAGTTTGCTTGCATATAATAAGGGTAAACAAGTCATACAATATGGAAAGAGAGCTGTTTGTTCATTAGGTATATTTTAAAACACTGTAACCAGTAATCATTATTTCTGCATGTCAGTGCCATTACATTTTAAATACAATTTCAACCATCTGAATGAATAAACATAGATTCTCCAAAATCCTGAATTCACAAGTTTTATGTGCGTGGTACCTAGACAGTGTATTCACAGTGGTGCAGGAATTTAGTAGGTGAAATGAGAAAGTGTTTCAAAGTATAAATGAGAAAACTATGCTATGTAGATATCTATCTAGAAATATGTATTAGTCCTAAGCATAAGTATGTAAATCATGAAGACACTGAGTTTGTTTAAAGCTACTATTTTGGGGGCTAGTGAGATGGATTAGAAGTGAAAGTGTTTACCATGTAATAATAATGACATGAGTTCAGTCCCCATACAAGTTGGAACACATGAATTCATCCTGAGAATCTACATGAAGGTAGAGGTAAAAACTCTTCAAAGTTTAATCTGATCTCTACATATGCCACACAGAGCGTAAGCTCCAATCCATAACACAAGTATGCATATTCTCATGATAATTATAGTAATGGCAGCAATATAATATTGATATTGATGATGCCACAACTGAGGTAAAGCTATTTTTTTAAAGCATGAACTGAAATGGCTTGTATATATGTTAATTCTTAGAGAAATTCTTAAAGTTTTGTTTTGTGGGTCTATGCCTTTCTGAAGTGTCCTATTCAAGTCATAGACAAGGCTTTGTAGTTGGTATTGGGACATATGCTCTTCCACAACGCTTTGAATTTGGCAGACAATTTCACAGACTTTTCACCATTTTACTTAGGAGAGATAAATTTTCCTGCTGCCAATCCTGTTGATTCAGGTTCACCTTCAATGACACAGCAAATTGAGAATGCAACAATCCCAATTAAATAGGTACTTACCTAATACATCACTGTAAAACTGATTCCACTTCTTCTCGTTAAATGTTTGGAACCAAAAGTCAAAATAAAACACATAGATTAGGTTTTGCACCCTCTCCATGAATGTCATTCGATCACTTAGTTGTGTCATAGCAGGAGGCACGTAGGAAGGAGGTAGTGGCAGTCCTCCACTGTACTTTTCATATGTGGAGCCAGGAAAGAATCGGAGACTGTACACAAGAGGTATCTTGAGAATCTCAGCCAGCAGGTCACCGCAGGGTATGAAGGGATCTGCTACTATGACATCAAAGCTTGAATTTTGTAGTTTTGTCATGAGTGCCTTGTTAAAAACTACATCTTTGCAGAGACTTTCAAAATAGTCTGAATATAACCAAACCACTTCTTGCAACATTGCAAAGTATCTCCAAAATGACTTCATTGACATCTCATAAATTTCTTTCCTAATTGACTCCATGAAAAGTTCCTCTACATCAGCCGTGGAATATGATGAAGGGTATGTTTCAAATTCAATAGCAGATGTGTTATCAACCTCATAAGAAAGGGAAGATGAGGGCCTCAGAACTGTCACTTCATGACCTTTCTTCACAAGCTCATCTAAGATTATCCTTAAATTGAGCCAATGGCTGTATTCCATTGGCCACACGAGCACCTTCCCAGCACTCCCAGATCCAAAGAAGACACTTAGCTGTAGCAGGAACAAAGCTGCTGTCATTTTCACAGACATCTTGGTTAAATTCAGAGTTTCGTTTCAAATGGTGGTGGCTCAGCTCTTGCGGTTAAAGAAAGCGTAATGGTCAGTTAGTTAAAGTATAACTTGTACCTACTAAGGCAAATAGACATGGGATAGTCACAACCCCAGGATGTCAAGTGCAAAAACCAGGAGGCAGATGTGCACGTCTGAAATTACTCCTGATTCTTAATGGCCTTGAATATATAATGTACTTGGAGAACAGTGAAAAGCAAGATCTCTCTGTGCTTCTAATGTAGCTTCCTTAATAAGAACTTGAAGTAAATACTGTTGATTCACATTTTTTAAATGTCACAGTTCAGTGTGTCTTTATAAGAAATTAGCAGCATGGATCATTTATCATACTATTTAATGATTTTGTATTTCCGTATCAGTGGTTCATAGTATGACCTTACAATTATAAATACTGCAATTAAATTTAGAATCGATTTTATCCTAGATAGAAGCCCTGATCTTTTTGACTTCCCATGGTTCCAGCTCTGCCCAACTAAGAATCTGCTTTCTTGTAACTAGTCAGCCTGGCCAAAGTAAATATATTCTAATGAGACATTTCTCCTTCCCTCCTTGGCTATCAGACTATTAAAAGAATGGATGCTAAGAAATTAGAATTTTCCTGGAGACCTTCTGTTGGGAGAAGAAAGGTCTGATGCCTTGGGGGCACCCAGGAGGAATCTGTCCTCAAAGGCCCTTTGCAAGCAAGGGGAAAAATACACCTGAAGAGACTAGGTGATAAAGTAATGGTGGGCAAGAGACCATAGCATATCTGGATTGGCAAGCTATGCCTATATCTTGGCAGAATTGCAAAGGTGAAGTTGGGTTAAGTGTGACTGGCTCTCTGTCTCTCTTCCTAAAGTGATCACAATGAAAAAAATCTGTTTTTCTGCATTCTACAATTATTTGGATACTTTGATTAGTTTATTTAGGTGTGTGTGTGTGTGTGTGTGTGTGTGTGTGTGTGTGTGTATAACTTGTTTGTTGGGGAGCACATGTTATAGGAGATAGAAAATTTCTTTTTTTTGAAAAGTTTCTTTTATGTAATGTTAAATCTGTTTTGTAGCAGAAAGTTCACACTTACTCCTTCGTAATTTGATTGACAATAGTTTTGTTCCCAAATTTTGACTATTGTTTTTTCTTAATATTCATGAGCCATATTTTTGTCATGTTCTATATTTTGATTTCAAACCTTTTCTGAATCTATGTATCTTTTGCAGACATCACCATGAACATAATCCCTTATTTTTATTATTTTCTCATTGAGGCAAAATATTATTAGAAAAAGATACTGTGAAAAGGAATGTGTGGAAGCTACATCACGCTCTTGGGCCGAACCGAATTTATCCTGATCTGTCCTTTCTGGGAGCCACAAATTAGGTTGCTCCTGAGTAGGCAGATTAGGTAGAGAGAGACACAGGGTAGAACATATGACCAGTCCTGGGGTGGGTATGAGAGTGGGATGTAGCAGGAAACTGGACTGGTGGGATGTTTGGGCAGAAACATCTTGCAGGACCTTGCTTGAGTTTAACAGGCTTGGGGTGGGGACCCAGGAAATGGGGTCCCACCCTGTCTGCTGCTATGCCACCATCTCAGTTCCCTGTAAGAGGTTTGTGTGGATCTGTTCTTATTTCTCTTTGATGTGTAACTATATGGTACGAATGCTCAGGATCTTTAAAGTCTGCAGAAGTGACAGACTGTTTCTAAGGAGCTGTTTGGGTTGCCATCCACAACACAGTACAGCAGTCTCATGATGTTTCCCCTTGTTCATTATTATTTCTCTCTTGACTCTAACCAGGTAAGAGGGTGAAGCCCTAAGTCATTGTGGTTTTCAATTGTTTTGAGCTGACCTTGGTTGACATTATGCATAATGGTTCTGAACATACTTCCAAATGTGTATAAGCTATGTGTAGCTATTCCATGGAAAATGTCTATTCAGATCCTCTGTCTCTATTTTATATGGAGTCATATCATGTGTTTTCCCATCCACACAATCAAGTTATGACCCTATTAATAATAATATAATTCTTACCATTTTTGGGGGGGGCGATATATGACTTTCAAAGGCATTCTCCATATTCGTGATGTGTCTTATCAGTACTTTCAGTGATGTTTTGATGTAGAGAAGTTTTCACTTTCATGAGTTCATTTAATGAAATTTAGCTTAGCTGCTTCTGCTTTTGAGGTCAACAGAAAAGTAAGTTTCAAATTCAATCACAAATGTATTTTCACAACTTTATTGACATACTACATTTATAATTCTTAGCTTTACTTTTTAAAGCACTTTAAATCAATTCTTGCATATGGTAAAAGGTAGAGGTCCATTTTTAATTTTCAGGGCAAAGTTTTCTTAGCATCCATAGGTTAAAAATATATAAAAATAAAAGAAAATGAACAAAACAATAAACAAGTAAACAAACCAAGAAAAACCCTATAGTTTTTTCCATGAAGAGTTTTGTGATCCTTTTCAAAAATCAACCAAATTGTACATTTTTAACTTAACTATAATTTTAATGCTCTCACACAGTATAATAAAGCATGACAATAATAAAAACCACCATCAAACATTAAGGATTTAGGGTCAATATGTGACTTAATATGATTATGTATACATAATGACTGTATATATTATTTGCACGAAATCATATAATATATTGATTCTGCAGTTGTCTTTTAAATAAAGAAAAAATCAAACCCAGATCAATAAATGGTGTGGTACAATTATCTATATTCTATTAATTATATTTTACATAAGTGCTGATAGGTAGTAGCCAGGCAGGAAGTATAGGCTGGACAACCAGACAGGAAGTAGAGGTGGGTCAGTGAGAACAGAAGAATTCTGGGAAAAGGGAAGCTTTCTCTTCAGTCTTGTCCCAATCACAGAATAAAAAAAAAGATATGACTGCCCTCCTAAAAAAGGTACTAAGCCATGTGGCTAACATAGATAAGAATAATGGGTTAATATAAGTTATAAGAGGTAATAAGAGAGTGCTGAGGAGTTCCATCCAGAGAGGTGAGTGTGTGCTATCTGGGGTGGACTGTCCTGGAAGAGAGCACAGCCCGCCCCCCTAGCTCCTGCTGCAGGGTCTTCTGTGTTCCACTCGACCCTACCCTGCTCCCACAGTTGCCCTTTTGTCTCCTGTGTCCTTGGAGAATACCAGCTGTCCCTATTTCAGTGCTGAGGAGTTCTATCCAGAGAGGTGAGTGTGTGCTATCCGGGGCAGACTGTCCCAGAAGAGAGCACAATCACCCTCCCCGCCCCCAGCTCCTGCTGCAGGGTCTTCTGTGTTCCACTCGACCCTGCCCTACCCCCATGTTTGCCCTTTTGTCTGCGGTGTGCTTGGAATACCAACTATCCTTGTGTCTGTGCTGAGGAGTTCCATTCAGAGGGTGCTGAGGAGTACCATCTAGAGGGACAGGAACAGTTCCTGCTCCTGCACTGAAGAGATCCACCCAGAGAGTCAGTCACAGCAAAAACTGAACCAAGACACCAAGACTCTCCTGGCTCCATTTGAAGGAAGAGATGGGCAGGCGCCATTGCAAGAATTCCTCCAACAACCTGAAAGGCAACATGACATCACCAGAATCCAGGGATCACGAACCTATGAGAATTGAACACCCTACTCCAGAAGAAATAGAGGAAATCGACTCTAAGCAGAACTATATGAAAATAACAGAGGAACTTAAACAGGAGGTGAAAAAGTGCTGTAAAGAAATGGAGATAACAAACAAAAAAGTAGATGAAATGAATAAATCTCTCAAAGATACCCAAGAAAAACAAGAAATCCAAGAAAAAGCAATCAAACAGGTAAGGGAAACAGTTTAAGACTTGAAAAATGAAATGGAGGTAATGAAGAAAACACAAACTGAGGAAAGTTGGATATGGAAAATCTGGGTCAATGAATAGGAACTGCAGAGACAAGTATTACCAACAGAATACAAGAGATAGAAGGAAAAATCTCAGACAATGAAGATACTGTAGAGGAAATAAACTCACTGATTAAAGAACAAAACAAATCCAACAAATTCTTAACACAAAACATCCAGGAAATCTGGGACACTGTGAAAAAGCCAAACCTAAGAATAATAGCTGGAAAAGAAGGAGAAGATTTACAGCTCAAAGGCCCAGAAAATAGATTCACCAAAATTATTGAAGAAAACATTCCCAATCTAAAGAAAGATATTCCTTTGAAGGTATAAGAAGC